CCGAAGTATTGTCCGACTGCAATCAAACAGGCTGCCTATTGATCAGAAAGTCGACGAAATTCCTGCGATCAGCGTTGACTTGGAAGTTGGCCCCGTCACATATATTGGCGGCTCACCGTTGTCGTGTTCTTCGATATCAAAGGTGTGTTCGATTCGGTGGATAGACATGCACTTTGGGACTGTCTACTCAGGAAAGGTGTACCTGAGAAATATGTGAATATTATCCGAGCATTATATGCGCGTAGCTCGGGCAGAGTGAGGGTTTACGGCAAGTTGTCGTCGCCCTTTAATATCTCCAGCGGTGTGAGACAAGGATGCCCGCTGTCACCTTTCCTCTTCAACTTCACTGTTAACAAAGCCATGGAAATCGCAGTCACAGGACACGGCTTAGAAGGTGTGGAGCTACTCCCAGGAAAACGACTTTTTGTTTTATAGTATTCTGATGATATTGACCTGATCTGTGACAGCTCACAAACATGCCAAGCGGCACTGGACAGATTAGCACTAGCTGTCCGTCACTTCGGGCTTTGCTTCGCACCCTCGAAGTGCAAAGCGTTTCTCCAAGATTGGTCTGAACCGCCTCCTACGCTGACACTTGGTGGGGATCAGCTAGAAGTCGTTCAGCAATTCAACTACCTGGGAAGTTGTATCAGCGCCCGTGGGATTGAAGAGGAAATCACGAATCGTATAGCAAAAGCTCGGGGCGCTTTTGCTAACCTTCGCCACTTATGGCGCCGGCGCGACATCACTCTTGCCCTGAAGGGTAGAGTGTACAATGCAGCAGTACGTTCGACCCTATTATACGGTTGTGAAACCTGGCCGCTTAAAGCAGCGGACCTGAAGCGGCTAGTTACGTTCGACCACCTGTGCCTTCGTAATTTAGCTCACATCTGGTGGGAACACCGCGTGAGCAACGAGCGTGTTCGACGCCTTGTTTATGGCACAGGAAAAGGAACTGAACCGCTCAGCACCGTTATTTCACGCATCAGGCTCCGATGGCTAGGCCACGTGTTACGCATGCCAGCCCACCGACTCCCGCGACGTGTGTTATTTGCGCGCCGGGGGTGTGGATGGAAGAAGAAGGGGAGGCCAAGCGATGACTTGGTCCAGAGGAATGAAGGCCTTCACTTCTGAGCTGGCCTCGGTTGGAGCGTCTCGGCTCCGGGGTTGGGGTCCGAAAGACGATGAACACGTTTGGTTGGACACACTTGCTGCTATGGCTAGGAGCGGACCTCAGTGGCGTTCGTGCTGTGAGTTTCTTTGTCGCACCCCATCCCTCTTAGCCTCCCCCTCCAACCACGATCTCATTACTTAGCCTTATATAATTTTGCATAGTAATTTTTTTGGTTCACAGCATCCGGCTGGTAGCTTACCGGAACGATGCCCATTTGTTACCGGTAGCTCAGCCAGCTTGCACCAGTTGCTCTTTTTTCTTTGTATTGCGGCACAGTAGCTGAGGTCTTCCCCACCTCTAGCTAACGTGTGTGATGATGATGGTGATGATGGAAGTTGGCCAGCAAGCTCATTGAGCTGCCAGCGGACCAGTTTTAGGCGTACATCTGGATGGCGGCCGATTCGATTAAGTGCGGGTAGGGAGCGGGCCAGGTATGACCCCCTTGTACGGCGTAGGGTTGCAGTAGCCATCACGGTGGCCCACCCTGCCACGACGCTAGCATCGGTGCTGGCGAAGTTGCAGTCCCGGTGGAAGTGTCAGGCACCGCCGAATCGGCACGGATAGGATGGGGACTTCACTCTGTCGGGTTGGGAAGGCAGCCCAGAAGGTTACGGCATTGGTACTGCGACTGCCTAGACAAAACCAGGTGGGGAAGAATTCGGGATCATCGCGGAGTCACGTTTCAGATTGAGCAACCTTTGAGATTCCTCGACCAAGTCCTGGAGTGTGCTCATGCTGTCTTGCGACGACCTGGACAGAAGTCACGTTTGGATTTCGGCATTGTGTGCTGACTGGAGGCCAGCAATGAAAACCAGGCACTTGAACTGGTCTTCTGTTAGGAAGCCAAGCTGAAAACCTTCGAATTCCCATTTGACGATGCCAGCGTACACTATGAAATCATCACCATCCCACTTGGCAAGCTGAAGATATTGAAACCGTGTGCTGGACAACGAGGACTGTTCGCCAAAAAGCTGCGACAACGTGCGGACCGTCTCGCCAAAGGTAACATCGCGGGGGTTCTTTGGCAAAATGAACTTAATATAGCGTTGGTGCTTGACCGTGCCCAGTTTGCGCAGAAGCAGCCAGACCGTCCACGCGTCATCCTAGTAAGCCAGGTCAAAGATGAATAGGTCATCGTACCGCTTATACCAAGAATCGAAGGAACATACGCGCCAAGATCGTACAGAAACACGAGATACTACCAGCGATATTGTTAACCGATGGATTATTTCCAGCGGAACCTGATTGAATGGAAGAGCTGGAGAAATTTTCTGTCAAAGGAGACATCAACTTCAACTGTCGTTGAAATAGTGGCTTAAAATCGTTGTACGCAATCTCCATGGTACGAAACCACCCGTTGCCACTTTGTTATGACTCCTTCTTGGTTACCTCAGGCTCTGACGATCTGTATCGACTCTCTTAGTCCGACGAACGAATGTGACTTGGAAGTATATTCACGCACGACAACGTAACCGACCAAATTCGCAGATTATGCGACCCATGAGACTTAAGCGCGACACGGTTATTACGCGCACTTTGAACGCGCTCCTAGATCGCAGGCTACTTCACAAGCGACTACCCGAAGCTGAGAGAGACAAGACAAAAAGCAGGCCATTCGCTACAGGCATTTTACCGGCCACGCTCAAGGCGATGGTTGTGGGCTCGTCAAATATCCCTGCAAAAACGCACCACAAACTACGGCGTAATAGCCGTGGAAAGCGGAGTCCAATTCCTCCCCATAACGTAGCCGTTTTCAGCCACTCCGAGACGCAGCACAAAAGTTGCACAGTTTGACAATGTTCCATTACAAATTACCCTGTTGCGGTACCTATTTTCACTAACTCAATGACTCATAACATTGGCTGTGATTCGCCCTTTGTTAGTCGTAAAAGAGCCTTCAAAGGACCGCTTGTCTTGCTTCCTCTCCGCCGTAGTTGGGATTCGGTTCAGTCACGTGATTTTTGTGTGCGCCGATAGCGGAGCAGTGTTCGCTTCTAAGACACTAGAGCGCGCCTACTGTAACCCCTCTCGAGTGCATAGCCGTTACGAGGGCTCAGCGTCTACCCGAATTCGTGCGGTTCTCAGGCTGGCTCGATTTTATGTTTCACCAGCGAAAATCTGTTCGATCGGTCAGCGTTCCCAAGCCGTTATCGTATGCGTGCTCAAACCGTGCCAGTGACAATAGTCTTATCAGACTTCTCTCAACAGTGATTACAGCACTCTCCAGCTTCGGACAACAGCCCCTTTCATTACATTTTTTTTCTCTCGGCCCAAATATCTATCATGTGATTGTAAAGAATCCTGATTCAGTGGCAGGTAAAAATAGCAGAACGATTCTGATTACTCTGTGTAACATAATTTGCAATTGCATCCATGTTTATCTCTGAAAATGTATTGGTGAAATGTCATGGAAAAGTTGTACCATTATTTGAGCTGTTCCTTATAGAGAACAGCTTCTCGCATAGTCGAGGAATATACAATTTATTTATTTATTTATTTATATACCGCGGTTGTGAAATATGTGAATTTTCACCTAGAATGGTTTACGTAAGCAACTCTGGAAACACGGCGTATGCGAGTGAATTGGCACTGTGTGAATATGCCAACGGAACATGTCGGAAAGAGAATGTTGGTAGTTTTGGAGGCTGGACTGGAAAAATGAATGCTGCTTAGGTAAAAAGGCTGAATGTTTCATGCTTGTGAAATTTGGCTAAAAAGATGAATGTTTCTTATATACAAAGGTTGATAGAAACGTGAATGCGTCACGAGTTGGACGGGGGTTAGAAACATTGCACTGGTCTGAATATGAGTGTCATTGCCTTCCGTGGTTTCAGCTTGTGGTCTTGGGGGGACGTTGGGTTCCCATAACAGTAAAGTCGCTACCATGCTTTCCCCCAACGAAGCGACTTTTGCATTCCTCTGTTTAATCGGCTGACCTTGTTCATGCACAATAGTAGCCAGTGTGGTGAGCATTCATAAAACCACAGAGAGCATGGTCATGTACTATAAGCTCCATCTCGCCTAATGTGAACTTAGTACGTTTAGGTCGGAAGTGGACACGGGAATCGGAACATTGAATTCCTGCTAGTATTTTTTATGGTATGAATTTAGTCCACACATTCCATTCATTTTTGTAACATTGTGTGCGGCTTCTATTAATCGGTCTTTAAAACCCATTGCTTAACGTGACTTTGTCTTCAGATGCCTCGTAGGCCGGCAGCTGGGCGCTTGACTGCTAGCCAAGTTCAACGCTGGTAGCTCTGTCTATCTACTGCACGCTGAATTGCTAGGGTCTGATGTCAGCCCGTCCTTAGCACGTCGCGATGCACTGCATGGCTTTGCGGATCAGTTTACGCGACTGCATCGTGCGCTCAGAATTCTTCGTGAAATGTAAACAAAACAAAGTAGCACTGAAGAACACAAAATGTCCCATACCTTCCTTACTTCTCGGTCGCCAGCCTTGAATGATGACCCGTTTTGTAGGTCACAGTTTCGGCTTTGGTTTGACATCACATATATTTTTGTGAGACTCAGGTTGTGGAAACTTGCGCGTGTTTCTGCGGGAAAAGCGCAAAACTGCGATGTGTATATAAAGGGGATACGAAGAAGTAAGATTGAAAAGATGGGCTGCAGTAATTAGCAGTTTTTAAGCCGGCTCGAATGAGTGTAAGCACATCTGTGAGTGGTGAGAATCGAAAGGTGATTTTCCATTGCGCGAGAAAGACACAGGAGCATAACTTAGTCGTGAGAAAAATGACGTTAAAAATGGCCATCGCCTCGAACCGTGCTTAACTATTGTACAATGATTCATCCCCTCACCTATCAGTACAAGGCAAAGCTGCGACGGAGAGAGACACCCGCACCCATACGCCTTCAATCCGAAGATTATTGGGAGGAGGATTACGAGGGACCCATCGTCCCGTCAGAAAACGTACAAACGGAGCAACCTGGTACACAAAATCGGATCTCGCAAATGGATATGACGCGTTATGCAATGAACAGACCAGTGAGTGTTCGCGATAGTTGGGCATTGTTTTTCGAAATTCATTTGGCTGCATGGCAAGCGAAGCGGCCACATCTTGCATTAGGCGTTGTTGGATGAAGCTATTTGCTTATACACTAAGCAATTAGTTGCACATGCCTTACCTTGGTACGACGTGTGTAGTCTTTTCCATTCTTCGACTTCCCTTCATTTTCATTGTGTTTGTTCTTGTAAACCAATACTAGATCATTACTGACTCCTTAAGTCAAATGAGAAGGACAGATGCCTCATTTTCAGACCTAAGTTGCGGTAACACATAGGGTCTTTCAACATCAACAATCTTTATCACATCTTCCAGCAACTAGCATTCGTTATGGATTTGTACTCCTTTGGAGTTAGTATAGTCAAACCTGTCCAAGGCGACTACTCAAGGGACCGGAAAAGTGGTCGCCGTGGATAGGTGCTCGACATGGGCAGCTTCATGCATAGGCGACACTTCTCATGATCGACTCCAAATGTGTGATAAATTTTCAAATAGCGAACTAGATCTGTAAACCGGCAGCTTCTACAATCAGTTTTCGTTTCTAATTAGGACAACAACAGTAGTAGTGTATGAGCTAGGATATATGAGTAATAAGAATGCAATACATTTACAGTTCATGCGTCTACATTTTAAAAACTGACCTGCAAATCATCGAACTCCACAAACTTTGGAAAAATCATACACACACGTTTCTATTGTCATAATCATTATCCACCAGACGAAAAAATTAGGTATAGTGGTCTGTTGCTTGGCAGTTGAAATGAAAGATGAAATTTGTTTTTCCATCACGTTCATGAAAGTTCAAGCCGGTCAGTGTGTCCGCTATGTATTGCGTAGGAGCGCAACATATCAACAACACCCTGTACGTCTGTGAATTTATACGTTTTCAGAACGTCTGTAGAATCCTTTTTCTGCTAGTCGTCTGGTTCAGAACACGCATCCACAGCTGTTAAAATCGATTTGGCAGGCAGGTCCCAGTTTAGTCATGTAGTGTTACAGCTTTGACGATAAGCATCAACCATATGGCTGTCAGCCAGTTGATACCAAACAATTCCTTTGAAATAGTATCCAAACAATAGAAATTGAAAGAGGTACAATTTGCTCATACGTCTCAGATCCAGTTTGCACTACTGTCTCAGAAGCTATTTTTGCAGGACAAGGAAACCCCGTTTTACAAAAACACAGAGATTGTTGAGTTCTCCACCTTCTATACGGCAGCTATCCAGAACAAGATGTTCAATAAATTTACTCGTTTCATGAGTTCAGTTTCGGACATATCTTTATGTGATTCCATGATCCTAATAAGATGCAGAAGCTGCTTTTTCCTAAACTTCCACTTAAGCTCATGAGTGACACCCTGGTCGTGGGGTTGAACTAACGCAGCGGTGTTGGGTGGCAGGAACTACAAGTTGACATTAAGTAGCTGGGATTTAGGGATAGCAATTGGCATTGCCAACAGACAGTACGATGTTGCGCTTTGCTCTGCATTTTTCTGTTAAAACTTTACATCCAACCTTGGAAAATGACTGCAGTCATCCATGGAATTTTATTATTCTTGGAAAATGCCGATAAATTTTCATGTTGTCATTTCTAAAATTTCGAGGGTTGGCCGATTTCCCAATCAATAAAGCCGGTTCTCATTCCTCCAACATTTTAATGCACAGCATAACTGTGATATGCTCTTTGTTTCTTTTCGAACCTGCGTATTTCGCTCCTTCGACAAAAATGTTTTATCCGACGTTGCTTTGAATAAAAAGCCAGTTTCATCCAAATTAAAAGTGTTTTGAGCTGTGTAGCCAAAACACATTTCGGGTAATTTTGCTGCAGCACAGATATCTGAGTCACCGCTTTCGACCGATTGCTTGCTAAATACAAGGTTATGTCTACAGACGAAAGCCTGAAGCCAACCGTTTGACGCTTTAAAGTCTGGGTTTTGCAACTATTCTGCGAATTGCAATGCTCGTTCTTGAATCATACTTCCAGATAATGGGTTTTGTCTCGCCAGTGCCGACTGGCACCATTTCCAGCAAAGTGTGTTTATGTCTTGGTTACCCGTTCTTCCACTATGCTTTTTTTACAGTCTGTGCGTTGTTCTCAAATGCATACAAAAACCCGGCTTTCCTCTTTACAGTTAGAAGGATTTGTCTTTCCTACTCCGAAAATTTCCGCCAATCGTGAACATTTTCTTCTTGAATTTGTCGAATTGCTGATATTCTTTCTTCGAGGTTTTCTGTCTTTGGCTTTGCCGCTTTTGGACTAGCAATTTTTTTCATCGTAAGAATCTTCAAAAAGTACCATAAAAACGAACATGAATATACAGTAAGGACGTACGTCAGCAGTACCCGCTCAGTTCTGACAATCAACTGGTTACACACTAAACAAATACACACAGAAAGTGCTAGTCACAGTACATGCGACTGGACAACAGTATCAAAAGACCCAGAGAGCGCGACGGGAGTCACACGGCTCTTTTGTTGGGTAACATGGTTCTATCCGATTAGTTCACTTCACAGCCCATAGCGAGATACATGCGTTAGTTAAACAGGGCGATGTCCAGGGGGGGGCGGGGTAATGTGTCACTGGACAAGTCTGGTGTGAAGGCAGTGTGACCCCTGGGGTAAGAATAAACCAGTGTTATTGGGGAAGTTGCACAACGTGAACTGGTCAAAAGCGACAACGGGGATACTGAAAAACCTATAGGGAATCGAATAAGGAAACGCGGACTGCGTGAACCTGGGTGATAATGAATCAACGTAGGACATATGGTGTGGTTTCTGGGGTAATTATGACACCTTGAAACGAAATCTAAGCTATCTGTACGATACGGTGGCAGGCTTTCAAGACACCACTACTTGCAAACTCAGCCAGTCATGGTCGCCTTGAGCAAATGCTAGAACGCCTGGGGACCACAAAAACGTGGTCGCGGTTGCGTTAGACAGGTGGACGCCATAGACAGGTTAAGACCAATGAGCAAATATAGGAAAATCCTCGGGGATATTTTGACTGGTCGCTATGGGTAGGTGGTCATCATAGACAGGTGGTCGTCATGGCAGGTTGGACTATATCTCGTAAACATACCTATAGAAGGACGGTGTGTCAACACATCTGCCCTTATGACACACGGGGTCCGGTGATTGTATTTACGTACTTCGCGTCGCCGTTAATTTCGAATCCACGACACAGTATTTAGGGTTTGAATTCGAGCTCAGCAACCGTGCGGATACATCCAATCTAGTATTTATCGTAACGCATCACATGTGTACATTTCGACGGTGGGTTTTCATCGTCATTAACGGACAGCGACCGAAGGCGTAGTAATGTACTGTTTAATTTATAAAGTACAACTAACTGTGTCCGGGATAACGCAGTAAATGGTCTTCTTAGCAGCTCTCCTCCGTTATCCTAATGTTCATTGTATGCCTATCAAAGCCATTACAGGTAACAGAATGCACAATCTATCCAATTGACAGAATCAAAGCATCGCCTTCTAGGCAGTAGCTGGGTCGATGCTCATTGCATTGACAACGACTACCTGCTTCTCATGCTGCGTGGCGGCCTAACTGTAATAATCAACACAGATATCCAACACAAACATTCGCAACATGTTGAGTGGTAGGCTCAGAACTACAAGTTACCCGGTACCCGAGTTGCTTACTACCACAACTGGACTCTAACCGCAAGTACGTATTTCAACTCGTAGCGAACAAGCAAGAAGACGCGTCAGTCTGGCGCACAGTGTACTGAACACTTAACGGTTTACATGTGAGCACGGAACGTTAGGGTGTGTCCTTGAGTGCGTGTGTGCGTGCTTATCTACGTGTGTGTGTAGGGCCAATCAGGTTCACAGTCATAGTGAGCGATCATTGGTTGAACACGTAACAGTCCTCCCTGTTTTGGCTGACGTTACAGTCATGGCTGAAAACGTTCGATCGTTTTGCGAATCCGGGTCGATCGGCGTAATTGAGTTTCCCCTGTTGTTCTGTGTTCGTCGTGCTCTGCAGCTTGCTCTGCGATCTCCGAGTGTGACTGACTCACGGCAGGTGTGTCAGTGCTCCTGGGGCGTACATGATCTGAGTGCCGTCGAACAACCCGGCGGTCCGGAAGCTGCAACTCGTTTTGACTTCCAGAAGAATCGAGCACAGTCGCCGACTGCCAACATTGTTCATGCGGTAACCTGGTGTAAACAGGTTGATGGTCCTGAAATGTAACTTCCGGCTTTGATTCCTCTGAAGACACAAACTTTTCTGACGCTCCTGTACTTCAACACGCGGGTTCGGGAACAACAAATGAAGCCTCGTTCTCAGATTTCTGCCGAACATCAATTCCGCCGGGGATTTCCCGGTAGCCTCAGTGGGTGTAGAACGGTAGGAGAATAGGAACCGATCCAGTTTTGTTCGCAATGTTCCCGTTCGCTGCTTTAGTAAGCCTTGTTTCACAGTTTGTACTGCACGCTCCGCTAATCCGTTTGATGCTGGGTGATACGGGGCTGATTTAACGTGTTGGATTCCGTTGTTGGCGACAAATTTACCAAATTCAGCACTGGTAAAAGGCGAACCATTGTCTGTACAAATGGTTTCCGGAATGCCAAACGTAGCGAAGGACGAGCGCATTTTAGTGATGGTGGATTCGGCTGTCGCCTGAGTAACTGGATGTACGTCAATCCACTTAGAATGTGCATCAATAAGTAGAAGAAACATGGTCTCGTCGATCGGTCCGAAGTAGTCGGCGTGGATACGCTGCCAGGGCTTGTCGGGCCAACGCCAAGGGTGTATTGGACCTGGCGCCTTGCTCCGCTGATACGCCTGACAAATATCGCAATTCTTCAGTAAGTTCTCTATGTCTGAGTCGATGTTGGGCCACCAGCAGTACCCTCTCGCTAGTGCCTTCATCCTCGCCACACCTGGATGAGCATCATGGAGCTCTTTAAGTATCTGTGAACGCGCCTTGGTGGGAGGGACTAGACGAGAGCCCCAAAAAACAC